TCAATCTTCTCCTCTGAGATGCTTGTCTTGAAGTCGTCGGTGGCACGGAACTTCTTGTTGAACTCATTCTGCGCCTGTTTCAGCAGGAGTGCCTGATCATCCTTGCTCAAGGTGTCTTTCCAGGCATAGAAGTCATCCTTGAAGCCCCGCATGGCCATCTTGCTTCCAGCCCTGGGGGTGGCTGAGTTCACAAAGCCACTTTGGCTGGGCATCAAGGAGCTCAACATCCAAGCGCCCAGTGCCAGCAGCGCCACAGGGGCAAAGTTCGTTGAGCGAGCCATGGTGGCGGATATGACTGGAATCCACCAACTAGGAGCTGGCAGGGTTCTTTGAGCCTCGCAATTTGCGCAGGTTCATAGCACATTTTTCAAAGTTGGTTCATCACTTTCAAGGACAAACTGGGATGTTGAGTGCACCCAACTCCACGAAACTCCGCAGCAAGGCCAGTATACTGGAGCCTACTCTGGCAGCCTTGCCTTTTTCGATCCGATAGCAAGTGCCAGCAGCAACAAAATTAAGCAGAATGATACCAGTCACATACGCCTCTATACACGGAGTCACCAGGTACAATTCAAGTTTCCACTTATCTCCAGCAATTTGTGGCTAATTTCATTTCTACTTATCGTGAACTTATAACATAAGTTCCCTGAGTTCACTCGATGTACCTCAGCTGGCCTCAAGCACCAACTGGTCACGAAGTAGAAACGTAAGAATGAGTGTCGAAGCATGGACTGGGTGTGGTGGTGTTTGCGTGCTTCTGCTGCTTTTTTCGCTGCTGGACTGCAGCTAAATTCGGCACCGTCACACTGTCACCGAGCCACTGAGGAAGCACTACGTTGGGCGTGGAGTGGATCCAAATCAAACATATTAAAAGGCAGCAACATTTAGCACTGCACAGAGCCAATCGGACGCTTCGCAGTTTTTGGGAAAATCATGAAAAATCATGTTTTCACCTTGTTGGAAGTGCACACTGGTCTGCTTAGTTTTGCTGGGAATGTTTTGAATTGATTTGGCTTTCAAGTCAATTTGTTGGCCAAAGATGCTCGATAGATGCGACGATTATAACAACCTATACGGAGCCATATTGGAATGCTTGGAAGGACGACGGGCTTCAAAAAGGAATCTCCGCACCGACGCGCGCGGCCAATGCACTGCCGTTGGACTTGCTCCGGAAGCAGTGGTGATGTGTGAGTGTATGAGCGAACATGTGTGAGCCTGTGATGCAAAGGGACACGTGATACATGGTGGATAAGTTTTTGAGTTTCAATCACTTGGTTTCAATCACTTTGTTGGGCCTTTCATAAACCTGGATGGGTGGAAAGTCTTGGGGCCGTGGAGAGTATTGGGAGCGAGGGGTCAGCTGAAGGTTTTCCTAGTTGTGTTAGAGACGATATGAGAGACAGGTCTAGGACATCGGCCGATCAGCTGTCATTCAAAACCTGCGCCCCAGTGGCTGCAGCTTTCCGTAAATCCCACTGAATAAAACGATATACGCCCACTCCCCACAAAACGTCAGGGTTTGATTGAATGTGGTTGCAATTTCATCCGCTATCATTTGTCACAATTCGGCAGTCTGATGCAGTCTCAATTTTGTTCAGTTTTGTTTGTTTCTTAGACATGCCGAATCGGGCTGAAGCGGCAAAAGGACAAGTCTCACCCAAAAACCAAAGCGGTCCGGGCGATGACGGTGGATGATGAGGTCCTGCAACAGGTGGTGACACGGGACCGCGTCGTGAAATGTTGGAGAGTTGTAGCTCTGACCCCTTGTGAACAAATGCTTTGGCAGGTCACCGCACCTGGGGCATGGACCAAGTCACCGGACCCAGCTCCGCCAGAACGGACCCGGACGTCATTAAGCCCGATCCAAGTGAATTTAATCAAGCTTTGGGTTCAGCAGCTAGCCCCAATCCTAAAGCAAAACGAGATAACATGAGGCAAGAGAGCTAGCATCTTTGAGGACACGCTGCAGCGGTGCCGTAAAGAACTACAGTATATACATGAGGTGCAGACAAAATTCTTTATTCATGCAATATAATATGCCAAACTGGGTCGTCCCCTATCGGTTGTGAAGAATTAGGCATTTGAAAGGGCTTGCCGGGCTTGCCATGTTGCGCTTTGATTGCTGCGCGGTTGTGTTTCCAGTTTGGGGCTTGAAACTGCGAGTACCTTGTGAAAGGCTCGTGGAAGCAAACAGCAGAGTAGCATCTCCTTTTTCGACTTGGTGTTATCTGACATTGAACTCGAGGAGCTGGATTCTGAGCTGGTGCTCTGACCGTGACCTGCTTTCACAATGCTTTGTTTTTCTTGGCCAAAAGTTGTTGCTAGTGTTTACTCCTCAGTCTCCTCAGTTGTAGTCTGTTGATATTCTTGTCAATTTCCTCTTGGTTGTCTGCATCACCTGGTGATTTGTACATGTTTGCAGAATCTTCTAATGCCTCCTTGTACTTCTTTGCTCGCCTTACTGTGAACACCCGTAGGGAAACATTGCAATCAGGTGAAGCTACTCTACCATGTGGATTCTAAGAAATGAACACTGCATAGACACCCGCAATGTTCCTGAATATAGTGTCACCCTTCAAATGGGACAAGGGGCACCAAAGCATGTAAATCTGCAAAACATGGTATCGGTTAGCATTGAGCTGTCCATGAGAGCTTCCTTATTCCACGGTGTAACCACCCAACTGTTGTTCATAATGCAACCTCACCGGCGAACTCACTTGACAATGGTGTGATAGCTCTTGCAACATAACCCACTAAGGTTCAGAATTACTCATATTGAAAAGCACCTTGGAGATCAGTTCACAGCCATCGAAAAAGAATAACAACCAAAACAATCTTGGTGAGTATAGGATGTATAGGGGTATCGGTGCTGGGTCGTCCCCTATCGGTTGCCAAGGATTTCTTCACTTCTCTATAAGCACAAGGCGGCCTCTTACATATTTAGGATTCCAATAATTTTGTCGGTTGCTCACAAAGGTATGTTATGTGCCTGGGGACTCCCAGTATAAAGACATAACCTGCTATCAGGCCTTCAGGGCCTAGGGTTCCTTCCAACCTTTTCAGGTCTGCCCTGGGCGCCCACAGCCGCCGAAACGTTCAAAAAGCCGTACTCAGAACTGCTGACGGGCTCTTGCATACCTTCGGCGAAACTGCAAGAACCAGATTTTGACAACAGAACTGCACACATGTGCTGCATTCATCATCCAATCCCTTGGGCCCAAGATTGCCAGATTCTGCAGGTACCTAGTCCCGGCCTCGAAGAAATCACGTTGTTCAACGTTGCGCTTCCTCAAGAGCCTTTCGGATGCGGTCCACCGAATCCTGCTCCTGCATCCAGTCAGATCATCTAGGCATCTTTAGGCCAAACGCAACCAAATACACACTGACAAGAACTAGCTGCGGCACCCATGGCCAAGGCGAACTATTGCAACAATCATCCACACTTGACATGTTGCCAAAACAAAACTGCCCCCCTATACAAAAAACGTCCTATTGGTCCTGCCTTACCTGCCCATGGTGTTTCAAGAACAATAGTTTGGCATCCGAAGGTCCAAATCCTATCGCATCAAAATTTGAAACAACGCTGCACTCCCCGCCTCCGCCAATTCCGCCTCCTGGCCTTTGGCCCAGCTCTTGAGGTTCTCCTTCACATCTTTGCCTGCCTGCCAAGTGTGCTTCGATGAGGACAGTACCGGTGCATGTGCCTGACCTCCAAAGTAAGAAGCAATAAAGCCCAAAAACACAACGATCCCAAGGCAAATAGGCGGCCAACTGAGGTTTGCGATCTCTCACAGCTTTCAACAATGGCACAAAAGGACTGGACACCGGACACCCTTTTAACTTTCTGAGGGCTGGGAGGAGGCAGGAGAGAAAACACGAGAGCAAAGGACAGGAGGTGATGCCTCTGTCCAGGAACCCGGGCCCCGCAAAAAGCAAAAAATCCAAACCCGTCAGCACGGGTCTTCCCATGTCATGTGGTGTTTAAATCGGCAAAATACACATATTCCGGAACCACAAAAAGGGACGACTTCCAGGTCATCTGGCCTGCTCATACTCCTTGTTCCAAACATCGAAGGCCTTCTTAGCATCTTCTTCCTTCTCAAAAATGCCCAACAAGTACTTGCTGCCAAAGGAATCAATGGCCTCTGACTTGTAGAGGGTCTCTGCGGTACCCCAATTGTGCTTGAACTCACCTTCGATGACTGCTGGCACCTTGGCCAACTCGCTGAGCATCTCCTCATCCAAAGGCTCCACTGGTGCGTCGGAATACTTGGGCAGCAACTTCCAAATCTCCTTCAGCACGTCAGCCTTGGTCTTGCCTGCCATGTTCTTCTGGGATCCGAAGAACTTCTTCATCTTCGCCACATCGGTCTCAATCGCGTCTTGCGCCTCAAGGTACGTTTTGGAGATGTCGTCCGCAGTCTTCACCCATTCCTCCTCCAGGCTCTTGGCATAGGCCTCGACTTCAGACTCGCTGTGGTCCGCCCTGTAAGCCTCGACCTGGGCCTGGAGCTTTCCACCGGCAGCGCTGAGCAACTGCACAATCTTGCGAGGCAATTGGATCATGAAATCTTCGCCATCGGCTGGAATCTCGAACTCATCCAAAGCCTTCTTCACGTCCGCATTGGTGGCATGTGCCTTGGCCATCTCCAACAACTTCACATTGTCCGTGTGGTCCTGCCCCTCGTTCCTTGGCTATTTAGGAAGAAATCCCTTGTAAACCCAACATGAATCCTTCCCTTCTATATATAAACCCAAGCAAATATTCTAAGAGATTCTAAAGAGTACGCCTTTTCGGCCAGTCTAAGATTCGCCCAGAGATATTCCCCTGTCACCACGGCGGCATCCGGGAACTCCTTGCCCTCCGCCTC